ACAACCTAGATGCCCCTCAACTGAAGAACGGATTAAGAAAATATAATACATATACACAATGGAGTACTACTCAGCAGAGAAAAACAATGACATCATGAAATTTGCAGGCAAATGGATGGAACTAGAAAATATCCTGAGTGAAGTAACCCAGACTCAGAAGAACAAACATGTTATGTACCCACTCATAAGTGGATAGTAGATGTAAAACAAAGGATAACCAGACAACAACCCACAACTCCAGAGAAGCTAGCTAAAAGGAAGATTCAAAGAGGGATGCATGGATCACTTTGGGAAGGGGAAATAAATGAGATCTCCAAGAGTAAACTGGAGATGAGGGGTGGGCAATGGAGGGTAGGGGATGGGGGATGATAACATAAGGGCATGGGATGGTCGAGCTGGAACAGGGATGGAGTGGGAAAGCAATGAAAGAGATACTATGATGGAGGGAGATATCATGGGGATAGAGAAACCCAGTGCAAGAGAAGTTGCCAGGAATCCCCAAGGATGACCCCAGCTTGAACTACTAGAAATAGTGGAGAGGGTGCCTGAACTGAACTGGCTTACCCCAGTGATCAGATCAGTGAATACCCTAACTGTCATCACAGAGCTTTTCTCTAGTGACTGATGGAAGCAGATGCAGAGATCCACAGCCAAACACCAGGCAGAGCTCCACGAGTCCAGTCAAAGAGAGAGAAGAGGGATTCTATGAGCAAGTGCATCAGGATCATGATGGGGAAACCTGCAGAGACGACCAAACCAAACTAGTGGGAACTCATGAAAGTTGGACCAACAGCTGTGGAGCCTGCATGGGACTGGAGGAGGCCCTCTGCATGGCCAGACAGTTGTGTAGCTTGATCTGCTGTGTGTGTGTGGGGGGGGAGTTGGTGGTAGGATCAGAATCCATCCCTGGTGCATGAGCGAGCTTTTTGGAGCCTACTACCTATGACAGGACACCTTGTGCAGCTTTGAAGCAGGGGGAAAGGCTTGGTCTTGCCTCTACTGGATGTGCCTCCCCATGGGAGGCCTTGCTTTCTTGTGGGGGAGTGGAGGGGAGTTGTGGGGGGAGGAAGGAAGAGGGGAATCTTTGATTGGTGTATAAAATCAATGAAAAAAATTTTCTTAAAAAACAAATAGCTGTGTTCTGAGAAATGCAATGCAAGGCAGTTCTACTATATGAATAGCACAGAGGGTATATATGAAAACTAAGTCAGCTACAAGATCCCTGGAGAACATACTCTTCCAGAATCATCACCATCATCATCATCATCATCATCATCATCTGCGAAGTATGCCACTGGCCCAAATGATATGCAGTATGCATCTTACCAACTGAGCTACCTCCCCAGGCCAAGCTTCATTTGTACACTCACTAAGAGCCTACTGTATGGTAGCCAGTGCCCTGTGTCTTAAGCTACAATCCACATGAAGTAATGACAGTACTTGGGGACATATATATGTGTGTGTGTGTGTGTGTGTGTGTGTGTGTGTGTGTGTGTGTGTCATAATATAAAATGTATTACCCTTTGGTGTTCCAGAATGGCTGTTTCTTTTTTCTTTTTTTTTTTTTTTTGGTTTTTTCGAGACAGGGTTTCTCTGTGTAGCTTTGCACCTTTTCCTGGAACTCACTTGGTAGCCCAGGCTGGCCTCGAACTCACAGAGATCCGCCTGGCTCTGCCTCCCGAGTGCTGGGATTAAAGGCGTGCGCCACCACTGCCCGGCGTGAATGGCTGTTTCTTAAAGGACCACCTCTACCAGGAAGGCCACTGGGCCAGAAAGGGTGGCTGCACTACGACACAAACAAGAGCTCTGAGTATTTACGATGGCAAAATAATGAGCACAAATACACACAATTAAGAGATGAAATTTATCGTCTCCAGACAGGTTTTTACCATGCTGAAATGTGGTTGACAGAACACCATGAAGGTGAACAAGGCTGAGCGGCAATTGTCTCACCTACCTAGCTATATAACTCTAATTTTAAGTGGGCTCCAGAGCTGAGTTAAGACACCCACGCATGTTTCAGGACTGGACCCCGGGGAGAACACAGACCTGACGGGTTCCAGGCATGCTTGACAAACATCCAGCTACCGTGGGACTTCTCTTTGTTTTTACGATTCTTTCTGTACTGGCTGATCTGATGTCAACTTGACACATAAACTAGAGTTATCTGAAAGGAGGGAACCTCAGCTGAGAATATGTTGCCACAGGATCAGGCTGTAGGGCATTTTCCTAATTAGTAATCACAGGGGAGGGCCCAGACCATTGTGTGGTGCCATCCCTAAGCTGGTGGTCCTAGGTCTTTAAGAAAGCAGGTTGAGCAAGCCATGAGGAGCAAGCCAGTAAGCAGCACCCCTCCAATGGCCTCTGCTTCAGTTCCTGCCTCCAGGATCCTGCTCTGTTTGAGTTCCGGTTTTGACTTCCTTTTGACAATGAACAGTAATACAGACATGTAAGTCAAACAAACCCATTTACTCTCCAGCCTGTTTTTGGTCACGGCGTCTCATTACAGCACCAGAAACCCTGACTCTTGCACTCTCTTCCCACAACTTCACAACTATGTTTCTTGCTCCTTAGATCTCTTGCTGATGACAAGTTTCCCCAGACGTTTTTTTCCTAGGTTCCACCCTCCTTTTCCTGTGAAGTGTGGAATTAGTCCAGCTCTGGAAGATGAACATACATTCTACTGCCTTTTAAATTCAATTTTTTTCATACTAACAACAACCTCTTTTTCTCCGACACTTGCCCATGACATTCTGTTAAAGATACAATCTACTGTTGAAGGTTAATAAACTCTTGGCACGCCCTGTGCTCCAAAGCCCACCTGAAACAGCTCCCTGCTGACGAGAACTTATTGACAAGATCTTGCCTTCCTGACTTCAACTCCGGGCCCTGAAAAACAGTCTACCACACACAGGTGGTCACAAGCCTCACAACAGTGTCCTCCTCTTCCTTTCCAAACCTAAATCACAATTATTCCATCCTTACTATATACTTCCAGAATCTTCTCGCATTTTCTAGCAGAACTGTCAGCTGGGAAGAACTGTCAATGTACCTCAATCATCAGTTTACAGCCCTGCTTTTACCCTTTCGACTTTAATTTTAATTGAAGTTCTTCAGAATCGGAAATATCCTAAGGTAGAAAATGTCTCTTTCCTCTCTCCTAGGATTCCCCACAAACACTCTGCATTTAATATAACAACAGCAACATCACTAGCAAGAGCAGGCACACTGTGAAGCCCAGCTTCTCCCCCGTTAGAGTGTCTAATTTTAACCAGTATTCCTTAATGGCCTTTAGCATAAAGGGAGGTGTTATTTTGGCTGTCATAATGGTGAGAACCATACTGTGTTCAATGGACTGAAACACCTTCTCAAAATAAATGAGCAGGGGACAGAAAAGAACCCTGACATTTCTTCTTCCTCTCTATTGAGCGACTGGTGATGTGAATGTCATCCATCACGCCACCCCCGTCAAGAGTCTGGTCTGCACCCTTTCTTCCTCTTGTGAGTCTTATGTACAGAGACTTGTGTAAAACAAGCCATTTATTTACACCAGTTGGAAAACTGGCCGACAACCTGGCAACTCGAAAAATGTCCAGTTGGCTCACACGAAAGTAAGGGTGGAAAAAAATGAAATCAGAGTGCTTGTAGTATGCCTTGCACAGTGAAGAAATGGCTGGTTTTCACATCAAAAGAAGATAAATCTTCGTTGATTCATGCCTGAGCTTCAACAATTTTCCTAAGCATGTGCCAATAAAACCAAAAAACCCAAAAAATATTAAATGGAATGGAAAATTACTGATTTTTAAATATTTTTAAGGTATAGGCAGGCACCAAGGAAAATTTTTAAAAAGAGCAGGGGTATGTGGAATAGGCCCCCAAAAAAGTTCTGACAGTGATTATCATCTCTGAGTAAAACTGTATTTTCTTTCCCTATTCTTCTCCAGTTTTCTCCCTATTTTTCCAATGCATGTGTGATCTTCTTACAGTTAAGAATAACCAACAAGGAGGCAAAATGAAGAAAAATGTTTAGTTAGTGAGAAATGGTGAGGTATAAGGATTGGCTGAGCCGTGAACAAAAACTCAACATATACAGACACCCACTGGCTGTCAGGCACTCTAAACCTCTAACTTCTAAACCTCTACCTCTTATCCAGGCATAGGAGTAAAATTTTATCCTTTAAAACTTTTGTCTTGAGCTGGATGTGGTAGTGTACACCTGTAACCCTGCAGCCAAGAGGATCAGGAGAGGAAGATCGGGGGTTCAAAGCTATCCTGGGGTATATGGTGTGTTCAACCTGAGCTAATTGAGTCACAGAAGAGATGGGAGGAAAAGTCTAAAACAGAAGGTTCCACAGAGGCATTCATACAGACATTAGGTGTGTACTGAACTTATAGTTGGCAGCCTGCTGCCCTTCTGTCTCCCCCTCTCTGACTCTGGTACTTCAGGTGGCAAAACCTGGGAAGTGTTGAGCAACACCACAAGGTGATTGCACTCCCTCCTGGTTACACTTGGTGTCGACTTGACACATGAAGAAGACGGGGTCTCAGCAGAAGAACTGCCTCCGTTAGCTGGCCTATGGCATGTCTGTGGGACCATTTCTGATTACTGACTGATGCAGGAGCGCCCAGCTCACTGTGGGAGGTACCATCCCCTAAGCTAGTAGGCGTGGGATGTATAAGGAAGATAGCTGAATTGTGAGGCTGGGAGCAAGCCAGTTAGTAGTATGCTTTTATGGTTCTGCTTTGGTCCCTTCCTTGAGTTCCTGAGCCTTGGCTTTCCTCCATGATGGACTGTAACTTGTAGACTAAAATAAACCAGTTTCCTTTCCAAGTTCCTTTGGTAGGTGTTTTTACTACTGCAACAGAAAGCAACAGGGACAATCCTAGCGTCAGTGTAACTAAATTAACTCACAAAGGATGTGTGTTAAGCCTTGACATGTATTTTGCTGGAAAAAAACAGCAGTGTACTAGTGAGTGCAGATGCCAGTCAACTGTCATACCTGTGAGATATAACCTGGAGGCACATGGATGGGAGGAATGGACCCATTGGGTGACATCATGGGAACTTCAGCAGGTCCTGAAAGTTATAAAAGCAAAATATTAATACATGAAGAGACACACATCATTCAATGTAATCACTGAGATTTTTAACATGCCATAACTACTTAAAACCGCAGGTTAAATAATTTCCTGGCTATACAAGTCGAGGAAACAAAGAAAACATATACAAAACCAGCAACAACAAGGAGGTTATAACCGTCTCTATTAATATTTAACAACTCCCTAAAGGCCAGAGATTCCATAGACCAAAACCATCCTGTTAACGCCAGGCTAACAGAATGGAACAAAAGACTTTTCCTCTTGACTTTAAAAGACATATTAGAAGAATTCACTTAAAAGACATATTAGAATAGTTCAAATCTCCTAACAAACTCCAACTCTACTTTTTAAAAAAGCATATTGCAATTAATATACACAAACACATTTTTGAAGTGAAAATTTTTAGGTTCAAAAAAGCCTCCTATAGGCTTTGGATTTAAGATTTCATGTGATTTTTATTTTCAATAATTTATTATAACCTTCCATTAATATGAAAGGTATAAAATCCTTAAAATACTCCAAACCTGCTGGACCTGGTAGTACAGTCCTATATCCAGCTAGTTCAGCAGCTAAGGCAGGAAAAATCACAAGCTCAAGGCCTGCCTGGGCAACTTCATAAAACCCTACATGAAAATAAAAAGCTGGGGTATTTTTTTAAAGGGCTTGGGGTATGGCTGAGTGGTAGAACACTTGTTTAATACGTATTAAGATCCTAGGTTTAATGCCCAATATCATAAACAACAAAATCAATTAACTATTTTGTCTGTCTCTCATTAAGCAGAGAGAAAAAATAGATCATACTCTAAAGTTAGGTAACATTAAGAGTTTCATGCTGAAGAAATGTCTACTTTTTCAAAGTAACACTTTAAACTAACAGAGTTAATTCAATGAATGTTTTGTTGTTGTCTCCCCTCCCCTCAACTCTTTGTCTGGAGACGGGCTCACGTTGTCCAGGCTGGTCTGAACTCCCACCCTGCCCAGTTTTATGCAACACTGAGGATCCTACCAGGGCTTTGTGCATGCTTTCCAAACACTCCACCAATGAATGCTAATCACATGATTAAGGCCATCTAATGAATGGAAAGGTTAACAGTTACCTAAAATGGAGTTTGGGTTAATGTTTCATCACAAACTAACGGCCACATACCAAAAACAACTTGACACCCTTACAAGGATCCTACAAGTCAGCCACTTCCCTACAAGCGAAGGAACTTTAGAACTGACCTCCCATAGCTAGCCCTCATATGGAGTTAGCAACGCTCCCCTAAATGGGACCCGGATCTATGGGATCTATGGGTTTCACTGTGAGATGACACTTCCTGGCTCCAAACACTGTGTTGTTTGTTGACTCTCTCCTGGTGGGTGTCGTGCCGCTGACAGTGAAAACAGCACAGCTGGAACAAAACCCCCAAATGCGATGTGATGCCGCTTTACTTGGCAAAAGGAGCCAGTGCTGTCGCCCAGCCGCTGCATTCACAAGGAAGCGTAATGCACTTTTCACATCACAGTGCTGCAACCATGATAGGAGAGGACAGGGTGGGGTGGGAAGGACTGGCTTGAGCAGGTCTCCAAGTTTGGGGGAAACAGCAGAGGGGCAGAAAGGGTGAAGGGCATCACAGAAAATTCCAAATGAGTGTTCACTGCAAGTTCATGGACTGAACTCTGAGCATCACTACACTCACAAACCCAGTGGTCTCATGTGTGTCTGTAATCAAAAGCAAAAAGAGGGTGGCGTGCATCACAGCTCAGTGATGGAGCACAGGCTTAGCATTTTCAAAACCCTGAAACCTACCATGCCCCCGTTACCAAAACAATGGATCACTGTATGACACCATTTTATTTTTAATTAGAATTAAACTCGTAGGGCAACCACTAAAGGTGTTGGTTTCCAAGTCCACCCTCCTCACCAGCTTCAGCATCTTTATCACAGCCATCAAGACATGGGAATTTCCTTTGAATCCTTATTTGAACTGATTCATTTAAAAAGAACCATACTTTCTTTGAAATCCAAAGATCAATGTACTTGGCTCCACAAAACAGGTTCTAGGAGCAGGAACTTCCCCTGGTCTCATACCTATGTGCCCTTGAACAATGAACTCATTTGGCCTCTCTGAGCCTCACTTCTTAACAGCTATAAGTGAAAATAGAATGGCTACTTCGCCGGGCGGTGGTGGCGCACGCCTTTGATCCCAGCACTCGGGAGGCAGAGGCAGGCGGATCTCTGTGAGTTCGAGGCCAGCCTGGTCTACAGAGCAAGATCCAGGAAAGGCGCAAAGCTACACAGAGAAACCCTGTCTCGAAAAACCAAAAAAAAAAAAAAAAAGAATGGCTACTTCATAAGGTCAGGCTTAGAGATTAAATTCATTAATGCCTGCAAAGGTAGCATGAACATAATGAGTACATATCTCATTACTATTTCACAATGCTTTTGAGAATGTTTTAAAACCTTTACTTCTTTATTTTACGTGTATGTTTTGCCTACATCTATGTCTGTGTACTACATGTGTGCAGTATCCAAGGATCTCCTAGGACTCGAGGTACAGATGGTTGTGAGCCAACCAGTAGATGCTGGGACTTGAACCCAGGTCCTCTGGAAAAGCAATCAGTAGCTCTTAACCACTAAGTCATCTCTTCAGCCCAGGACCCTTCTGGACTGCTATGTGTTGCACTCTCTTTTTTGTTATTAAATTATAAGGAATACATTCTTAAAGTACCATATGTCCTTATAATACATAAAGTCAACAAGTGTACACAATGTACACTATTTACTTAATGGGCAACTCTTCCTTAACAGGCAAAATATCAAATGCTTCACAGTTCTGCAAGCCAATGAAGCATGGCTTTTTGATGGGAGAAGTGTAGGGGTTCAAGACAGGGTTTCTTTGTATAGTCCCGGCTGCCCTGGAACTCACTCTGTAGAGCAATCTAGCCTTGAACTCACAGAGATTCTCTTGACTCTGCCTCCTGAGTGCTGGGATTAAAGGTGTGTGCTGCCACCACCTGGTGAGGGATGGATTTTTTAATTATCACAATGTATACCAAGTTAATAATGGTCTCTTAACCCCAAGTAGAACCCTGAAAACTGGTAAAGCCATTTGTGTAAATGCTAAGGAGTGTAGGGCAAGCAAGTGATTTACAGCTAGAAATGTTTTCTTCCTGGCCTTCACATCAGGAGATGCTAAACAACTTCCACATACTCGGCCTTTCTTCCTCCTAACACCATCATCAAAGCCATTGCAGGGCCATTTCAGACAAACTACAATGGCTTCTCAAACGCAACTGTACTGTGGAACCTCAGGGTTACACTAGCTCCTGAAGTAATCCTGGCCCCCATAAGCCAAAGACAGCAAGTCCCTTGCACAGTGGCAGTGTGAACCCACTGTCCCCTTCAGCACTAGCCTCCCAGGGACTCTGCCATCTCTGCCTGACCATCTGTGTTTGGGAATGCCCGCATTCCACTGTCATCCCTCCCTAAGAAGCACAGGCTTGCTTTCTTCATCATCTAGAGATCAGGCTCTCTCCACTACTTTATTAGTGACTAGTGACTAGTGACTATTAGGTCATGGACCTAGTTTTCATGGATGAAAATGGGACTTGGTCTTCATGACTTTACTGAAGTGAGTCAGGCATGATGGATACCACAGGTACAAGGGACAGAAGAGACACTGAACTCCATCAAAATTCAAACCTTTGTGCATTAGCCAGCGCCAAGAAAACAAAAACTGGAGAATGGACAAAATGCAAATTCCATCTGATCAGAGACTTCTATCTAGAATATAAAGAATTCTTACACATCAACAGAAGAGAAAAAAAAAACACACATCCTAACTTAAAGATGGGCAGAGGAACTGAACAGACATTTCTCAGAAGAATTACAAGTCACAAGCAGCACCTGAAAATGGCTTAACATCGTCAGTCAGGAGGGGGTTCAGATCAAACCCTAGTAGAATGCCTCCTGACACCCCAGCAACAGCCATGTTAACATAGATGGGGGTGGAGAGGATGTGTGTCGGTACAGAGAAACTACAACTTCGTATATTGCTGAGGAGAATCAGAGTGAGAGCTGGAACACTACTTCCTCTTAATGTTAAGCACAATACTATCTTAGGACCTGATGTCTACTTGAAGCTAACTTGGTTTACACAGTGAGTTCCAAGCCAGCCAGAGCTAGGTAACATGTTTATGGATTCCCCTACTGATTATATACCCCAAAAGAACTAAAGCGGGTACTCAAATAAATACATGCATTGGCATGCTCACAGTAGCACTGCTCACAAGAGGCACAACCAAAATATCTGCTGGGGAATGAATAGGCCAGTAAAACGTGTGGTGTCCAAACAATGTAATAGCATCATCTATAAAAGGGAATCAGCACTGCCACACAATGAGTGGCTGAACCTTGGAAACATTTCATTAAAGTCACCACTGTCATACTATATGTGATTCTAATGACATGAAACATGAGAAAGAAAAGTCAATCCATAGAGGGACACCAGTTACAGTTCAGTGAGTGACTGCTTGCTGACCATGTGTGAGGTTCTGGGTTTGATCTCCAGTATATAAGTAATAACAAAATAATTAATCCACACAGGCAGAACTGATTGATGGGTGTCAAGAGTAGGGACAGGGTGAGGGAAACAGAAGAAGCTTGTGTTTGTGTCTGGCCTCTGCTGCTACAGCTCCCCCAAGAGGAGAGCACCTGCTAATTCCCAGGGTCATCCTGAGGACGGGATAGCGGGACTCAACAGCCCCTCTGCAACAAGTGCTGACTCGGCAACTTTAATACTGCATCTAAGAGAGGGGCAAATGATGTGAACAAAGAGGATTCCAGCAGAATTACTGGCAATAAAAGCCAAGACAGCAAGTAACCTGTTTTGCCCTTCACATCTTTTTATCCCAATATTTCTATCTTTTAGCTGCAAAATTATATCCTGTTTTAAGTAGATAAAATATACAAATATGTAAATTACAATTTAG